TCAGCAGAGGTTTGAGTTATTTACGCACACTATATATACAGATACTATTAAAACGATACCAATGTAACAAATACACACGAATAACATTTAATGTTCCTTCATATGTCAACTATAATCGAAATAAATATCTCCGAATGCATATAATATACCAACTGTACACTGCACAAATATAATACAACACGAAATCACGGAACAGAAAGCATTGCTGGATAAATGGGGAACCGCTGTGAACGTCATGTTTCAGAACAGATCATGTGCCATGTCAAACGAGCATTGAGGCGGTGTTCATCTCCTGGTAACAGCCTTGACATAGTGGTTCAAATTCCACATTCATATGGTGGGGGCGAGTCTGTCCATAAAACAATCAGAAACCATACACACAAGACAGTGAGCAACTCACTTACTACCCTGAGCATCTCATCGACTACGTGATGAGTACACAGGTCTAGTCAGTTTTCTGTATTGCAGTCCTCGATCAAGTGAGCGCACAGGCTGAACGTATCTCCCTTTCCATTGTCACGTTTTGGTGTTCGCGTCAATCTCACGCAGACGCGACGTTTCAGACAGTCCACAGGAATGTTGCCAATACGATATTATCAGCCGTTTATTCAAGATGGAATCCCGGCCACTTTTGTTCTGGTCCAATGTCATTTCCCAGGTATCTTAATGTTTGTGATTATAGTCTGTTTAAAGGGTCTCATAGATGTGTAACGCTTGCGTAAATCACAATTTTTGCCGAGTCCTCCATTGGCATGTGGACTTCTTTTTATTCCCGCATGAGAAGCGCCATGCGATCTGGGAGACTGTCCGTGATGCGATTAGACTGCAGAGTCGCGTTTCAGGTCAGAGGCGCAGGTTTCGTAATGTTGACAGGTTTTTAATGTAATATCCAAAGTTATTGACATCGGATATTACACCCAAACACACTGAAGCCCTTGCTCGGTATGAGCTATCTGCGGAGCGTAACGTGACTCTCCGTAAATGCCGTAACTACTAAACAATTTTGTTTTACCAGGTTAGGCCCACTGAGCTATATAGCTATTTTTGAGAAGCGACCTGGCTATCACAAATGATAGCTTAACGAAGTGGCTTATTTGGAAATGTATAGCGGCCAAACGCTCTGAGCGTATGTATCTAAATGTTGAGGGAAAACCTGGAGGACCCGAGGAAATTTACGCGACCACAAGGAGAGACATGCAAACTCCAAATATACAGCAGGCATCAGGCTTGGGATCGAACCCGCGACCTCCTGTATACCAGGCGAGGTAGTGAACATTTCGCCATCTCGGCGCCCTCTATAGTGACTCCAACACCTCAACTCAAATACAATTGTATCGTTGTCTACACTTGCGTTTTGAAATAAATCAATGATTCATATTCTAACTGAATTTAAATGCGCAGGTAATATAGACCGCACGTGTATACTGAATTCATTAATGCATAAAATCAGAACTCTGTAAACTCTAAAAGACTGCGTTTACTTAAGATATCAAAGACAAAGGCAAAATATCACCAGATAGCATTTAACAGACTATTGGGGAAAGTGTTGTTAGCGATCACCCATGAAGGCAGGAACATCACACGAAGGGCTAGGTGGCCAGCACCACGCCCCGATCGCCTTTGTCTCCCCAGTGCTATCGGTGTTTACACACCACACCGAGTACTAATTTGAGGCTGAGTCGACCTAGGGGAGGCCCAGGACTGGTTAAGATAATGGTCACTGGTGTTGGCCTGGAGCGGAAACCGCTACACTACTGCTCCCCACTCAAATTATCAACCACACTGTATTCATTTATTCGTTTTATTTTTCCTTTATTCGTTGTTATTTTTTACACTAATTTTGTATTAACTTAATTGTATCAATTTCATGAATTGCTTTTGTCATTTTGGTGGCCCAAGTCACTCTTGCAAAAGAGACAATTCTGGTTACTTGAGTTTTCACCAGGTTGAATAAAGTACACTTGAACCTCAGCATCAACAAAGGGACGTTGCGAGCCACCGGTCAGCGTAAGGGACAGACGCTGCGGGAGCGACGACGATGACGATGATGGCATCGCCACGTGCACCCCGCAGTGGGGGGCACGGGTCTCGACGCAGGGCCTCTCCCGAGCGTTGCTCGAGCCACGAGTTCCCCCAAAGAGAGGATGCAATAAAATTGTCACGATGTGACGATTATCGCTATATCGGTTTCTCAAAACCTATTTCACGATTTTATTGTATTATTTTTGTGCTGTTATTGTACTTCCAGCCTTACCTGCAGCCCACGCCACAATCCTGCAGCCACGTGCGCGTTAATCATTGCGACTTTACAATCAGTGACGCTTATAACGCACGTGCTGACAATTACACGATAGATTATTTAATAACTAAATAAAGCACGACAATGGTGATGTCAAATAAATAGGCAAGACTATATATGTTTAATTAGAACCATGATTATTGCGCTTTTGTTATCTCATATATTTTGTCAGGATATATCAAAGCGACAAATTATGCACGATAATCATGCTGTCGCGCTATTTTGCAGACCGGACAATGCCTTACCAGTGGACCCTATCGAGTGAACACATTATAGGCAACGTTTTGGACAATGGCGCTTGCTCGTCGCGCTTAGAGAGGCCAAAGTTAATAATAGTTGGAGACTGCACTTTATCCCATTCGCCCTGAGGAAAATTCAATGATAAATGTTTTTTGATGGACAGTTTTTAAATAGGCACATGAATAGTTATATAACAGAACCTATTGAGGAACAGACATACCTTTCAATAATCAAAGTATTCCTGTCACTATTCACGTAAACCCCTATGTTACACACCTGAATATTACTGACAGACCTGAATATGACTAACACACACTCCTGTATGTTACTCACACACTCCTGTATGTCACACACCCTCCTGTATGTTACCCACACACACACTCCTGTATGTTACACACACACTCCTGTATGTTACTCACACGCACACACTCACTCCTGTACGTTACTCACACGCACACTCACTCCTGTACGTTACCCACACGCACATACTCACTCCTGTACGTTACTCACACGCACACACTCACTCCTGTACGTTACTCACACGCACACACTCACTCCTGTACGTTACTCACACGCACACACTCACTCCTGTACGTTACTCACACGCACACACTCACTCCTGTACGTTACTCACACGCACACACTCACTCCTGTACGTTACTCACACGCACACACTCACTCCTGTACGTTACTCACACGCACACACTCACTCCTGTACGTTACTCACACACACTCACTCCTGTACGTTACTCACACGCACACACTCACTCCTGTACGTTACTCACACGCACACACTCACTCCTGTACGTTACTCACACGCACACACTCACTCCTGTACGTTACTCACACACACTCACTCCTGTACGTTACTCACACGCACACACTCACTCCTGTACGTTACTCACACGCACACACTCACTCCTGTACGTTACTCACACGCACACACTCACTCCTGTACGTTACTCACACGCACACACTCCTGTACGTTACTCACACGCACACACTCACTCCTGTACGTTACTCACACGCACACACTCACTCCTGTACGTTACTCACACGCACACACTCACTCCTGTACGTTACTCACACGCACACACTCACTCCTGTACGTTACTCACACGCACACAATCACCCCTGTACGTTACTCACACGCACACACACCCCTGTACGTTACTCACACGTACACACACCCCTGTACGTTGCTCACACACACACACCCCTGTACGTTGCTCACACACACACACCCCTGTACGTTGCTCACACACACACACACCCCTGTACGTTACTCACACACACACACCCCTGTACGTTACTCACACACACACACCCCTGTACGTTACTCACACACACACACCCCTGTACGTTACTCACACACACACACACTCCTGTATGTTATTCACACACACACACTCCTGTATGTTACTCACACACACCCCTGTATGTTACTCACACACACACCCCCCTGTATGTTACTCACACACACACACCCCTGTATGTTACTCACACACCCCTGTATGTTACTCACACACCCCCCTGTATGTTACTCACACACACACACACCCCTGTATGTTACTCACACACACACACCCCCCTGTATGTTACTCACACACATACTCCTGTATGTTACTCACACACACTCCTGTATGTTACTCACACACACTCCTGTATATTAATCACACACACACACACTCCTGTATATGTATTCTTGGTTCTTTCGGTAAAGTCACGTAGAAGGGAAACAATTAAAAAATAAAAATATAATACACTTTATTGTTTTATATTTTTATTATTTTATTGTTTCCCTTCTACGTGACTTTACCGAAAGAACCAAGACTATGAATCCCTGCAGTCACGAAAGCTTTAAATCAAAACACTCTTGTATGTTACTCACACTCCTGTATGTTACACACACTACTGTATGTTACTCACACACATACTCCTGTATGTTACACACACACACACACATGTATGTTACTCACACACACTCCTGTATGTTACTCACGCACACTCACCTGTACTACGCGCGCACACCTTGAGGTTACATAAGTTCTGCCATCTGCAACAACGAATGTGTGAGGACCCCTGTGTGAATTGAGAACTGTACGAACGCGTGACATTCAGATTTGATGGTTCTGATGACGCGAACGCGAGCTCCAGAACTCGCGTCCACGATGCCACCACGCGTGGTCGTGGCCCAGAGACTCTGCAGCGCAGGCAGACGCGTCTCCAATGCCAAACACAACACAAGATGAACGCCGACGATTCGCCTCCTTCTCTTACAATATTAGAATCGTCACAATGAAACGACATCCGTAGGAGACGCACAATAATCTGTACGGACTGAGATCACCACAGCGTGTGTGAAATGTGGGAGCGATTTCCCTGCACCCTGCAGCCAGGCGGGGCCTCGCTGAGACTTCTGCTGGGAGCCTCTCTCCCTGTGCCTGCGCGGCGCACTCACGGGGCGCCTCGTGCTGCTCTTTGCTGGTGCCGCTGCTGGTGCCGCTGCCGGTGTCGCTGCTGATGCTGCGCGACATGAGTGCGGCGATGGAGAAGGCGGTGGCGCGGGACGAAAGCTGCGCCTTGCTGCAGCCATCGGCGGCGCGCGGGGGGGTCATGTCCATAGCGCCGCGCTTGGGTAGCCGCGTCTCATGAGACGCCACCGTCCTCACGGCAATGGCAATAAGAGGAGCTCGCAGACTGGGAGCGGCGCCTATCAGCGGTGGCGATCACCACCTTGATGCCCTGCTGCTGGTGAGGACGACGATGGCACGACTGCTGATGACAATGACTCTTCTTCTACTTATGACATTGTGATGATACCGTTGCTGCTATTAAGTGATATTTTCCTTCTGTTTCTGCCGCTTCCTATGACGACGATGATACTTGTGCTACTTCTGATGATGATGATACTTCTGCTACTGCTGCCAATGCCCGTGACAGGGAAGAGATGCCCGCTGTTTGAATCAAGGGGAGAAGGTTCGAGGGGGCGGGGAGCAGGGTACGGGGGGGGGGTGCAGGGGAGGCGGGGTGAGGCTCCGGGTCAGGATACGAACAACGGCAGCGCAGGGTGTGGTGAGAACAGCCCCTGGTGAGCACACAACCTGGTGTCCACATCAGCTGGTGAGCACAGCACCTGGTATACACAGCAGCTGGTGAGCACAGCAACTGGTGTACACAGCACCTGGTGAGAACGCTTTACACAGCAGGAGTCGCTTCGCTTTACCTGGTGAAGTCGCGAATGCTCACATGTTCTTGTTGTACAGATTAGGCAATACAAGGTACTATCGAGGATACCGCGTGTTCCTTACACGAGGACCGTATGTGTTATCGTACTCAATGGTGTTCACATGCCGCTACTCGCTCGTGGAACATTGTCGCACACGCTGCACATGAGAGGGGTGTTGAATCGCTAAGACTCGACTCGGTCAGTGGGGTCATCTTCCTTGCCGGGAGCACGGCCGTAACGTTTACGTCCATGGCCATGAAGCGAACCCCACAGTGTGGCTGGAGCCGAGTTCGCGCCTCTAGTCCAGGCTTTCCCACGAACTTGGGCGGAATCAGTGCGCCCCTCTCGTTGCAGGCGGCGCCGCTCTCGTAGCAAGCGGCGCCGCTGCAGAACCGCGTCCCTCTTGCTGCGCGGGACGCGCACTTGAATGGAGCTCTCCGCTGCGCTGCAGTCTCAGGTGACCGAGATGAACCGCTATCACTGGCACGGCTGACGGTGTTGGTGCGGCGAGTGGGCAATTCGTTATTGCGCATATGGGCACCATAGCGAGCAGGGGAGCTACACACCAGTATGGCTTCAGTGTGTGCGTCAACCACGATAAGCCATGATAATTCCACTGCTGGATGAAGTCCTCCCCAAGGCAGGGGGTTGACCATACTTTACCAAGCTCGCCAGTGCGGGTTGGCGAAGGGAACACATGTCGGCTTACCTCTCGATGAGTGCCCGACTTATATGGCTGCCTCTTATCCAGAACCGCTATGCCGGCTTCAAAAGTATTGCCGCCTTGGCAAGCCATTGGCTCTGTTGACGATGTCTGTTCTGTACAGCACACGCACAAATATGGCCCGAGTGTGTGCGTGTCTTGCTTTTGCAAGCTCTGTCTGTGATAGTTTGCAATCGGAGGTTGTTAAGGCTGCAAAAGCCAAATGGCATCAGATATTTTTGGACCGTCGTCCCAAAGTTTACATATAGGGCTTTCGAAGGGTCCCTAATAACCTACACTTCTTATTGTGGGACCCAACATTGGTGCCTGAATGTTTGACCCTTCTCATTTTTAAACATAGCCAAGCTCAAGTCGGCATCGGGAGATTTTCAAGGGAGCTGAATAAAATAACATCATATTTCCCATTGTATAATCTATCGGGTGTGCTTTTCAGAAGTGTATCAGAGCCGATAGAAAGCGGACGAAGCCCTCTCGCTGCAGTCACGACCGGGAGTTCTGTGTGGAGAGCGCCCGGCCTTTTACACGGCGGGGACTGGAAGCCGAAATGGCTGCGGGCCGTGCAACCTCTGAGCCGAGACCCCCACCGCTTTCCCTCGCCTCAATGTCCCAGGAGAGCAGCGCTCCTAGGGTGACGGAGATTCCATCCTCAACCTGCTTAGATCCAAATTACGGCGATATCGGACGCATTGAGGGTGATTTCGTATTCGGCTTTATATCCAGCTGTACACATAACACAATGCACACATGTACAGTACACATAGCACAATACACACGTATACCCATAACACAATAAAAACAGCCGCTGTTCGCCACGAAGTTGCATTGACGTCAGTTTGAGTGCTTGTACAAGGCTCGGTGCACTTTGAGGCCACAGTGAAGTGTCGAAGGTTCGCTGACACGAATTCACGGGAGAGACTCGGGTGATATTGGTTACCTGACTGACATGACTGGCAGATGCACCACCTGTGCTCCCTACTGTGCCAAATTGCTGCATTTTACCGGCCAGGCACTCCGCTCGTTGTGAGCGTCGCTCCAATATCCTCCGTTATTGTTGGAGGGTGACTGCCTCCAACTGCCCAGTAGCGTCCTTCATAAACCTCCATATAGGTCGATCTTGACACTGCTGTACCACATCACTCCATCTCTTCTCTAGCCCGTGCCACGCCCGTTTAGCCCCCACTCTATGCAGGCAAACAAATGCTGCTTTAAAATACGGTGGCTGGGCATGCGGGCTCCATGACCCAGCCATCACAGCCTCGCCTGCCGGAGGAGCTCACCAATAGGATGGTGTCCAGATATTTAAAGAATCTGTGAGCTCATCACACAATCCAGTCTGGTTAAACCCAGGATGGATCCTAGGCAGGCCAACCTCAATGTTTCAAACCGGTGCAGATGTTCCATCAGAAGGGTCCAGGTTTTGCAAGCATTGAGAAGGGTGGGCATAACTTTGGACAAGAAAACCTGGAACTTCGTATGGAGCGACAGGCCAGGTAGCTTCCACACAGCATTACCCAGCTGATGAAAATGCAGTATAATGACGCTCGCCTGCCAAACCGGAACTTGCTATAAGCACTCTTCCAAGTTATGGGAACTCCTCCACTCTCTCTCCACAACTGTCCCATCAATTATGGAAAGTTGACGTGGTGCAGTGTTTGATGACATAACATACCCAAACAGGTGCTTTGTTTTTGTGGGGCTGATTGTAAGGTCCCACCTCTTCGTCACATTCCAAGTTTAGCAGCAGTCACCAACTCCTCAGAGTGAGCAGCAGTTACCAGATTCTACGCATACATAACATGATTGACCAATGAGGCATCAATCACCCTCCCATTGTATCTGTACCAGATGGAAATTCCTCTGGTAGAGGCATTGAAAGCATAACACAACACACCTGTATGCATAACACAATACACACCGGTATACAACCGAATATCCCCACATACATGTTATACAAGTTAAACGTTAAGCCATGTTTCAGATGTTTGGTAACAGTCTGTGGGAGACCCGCGCTGCCACGTCCCGCCGCTCAGCGTGGAGCTGCATTCCTTGCGGCTCTTCAGCGACAACTGGCACGCGGGGGAGGGATCGGCCTCCCTGGGAGGGGACCCGTGTGCTCCTGTGACCAGGTCTCGGCCTCCGGCCGGAGCGGTGACAACATGAAGCGCCGTGTAGCGCAGCCACTCGGAGCGTAGAGCGGCTCCGATGTCAAACGGGGACCCGGGGGAGCAGAGCGACGCGAGGGGGCACACTGGCCCGGGTCACGCAAGCCGTGTACATTAGCAGATTAAGTATCGCGACGTGGGGCGCGTCTGCGCCATAACTCGATTTCGGAGCTGAAGCGAGGGTCGGTGGAGCTCGGATCCGATTATGAGGCGTACTGATTAAATGGCATTGCGGACCATGATCAAATTACTGTAGCGTGCAGGGAGCATGCAGGGGAGGGTGGAGATGGACCTGGGAGATGCATGGAGAAGGGGATGACTTCTGAGCGAGAAAGCAACTGCCTAGATAGGCAATGTCAAAGATGTTCGTGCGCGCTCCCGCTACGCGCTCCTCGCCGCGTACACGCGGCGATGCAGCGACGCGTGTCACCCGCGTGACCCCCATACCCTGCCCACCACACGCCTTGACCCTCGCATTTACACAAGGGGATGTGTCAGGACAACGACGCGAGGCCATTATGCCACTGACATTCCAATCAATGCAAATCTACTCAGCCTGAGCCTACCTGATGCACATGACACAAGAACACCGCACACGACACCACGGGGAACACGAGGCCTCGCCTGCACTCAAGGCGATGTGCACACGGCGTCTGTGCTGTGTACGATAGAGCGGCGCCAGAACAGCGGATACGCGAGTGCGTGCCACCCGGTAGAGACAGAGGACATGGTCCACAACCCTGTGGAACGTTAAAGAAAATGCCAGTGATGTCCTGCTCAAGTGAGCATTGGTGCTCACCTCCTGTTTACAGCCCTGAGCCAGTAGTCGAAATTCCACATTCCCATGGAGGAGAGTATATCCCTAGGACATCCACTGTAGACTCCTCACGAAGTGGTACTCATTTTTAATGACTGAGGCAACCCCCAACCGGGATTTTAACTCGCAACCTTCCGATTGCGGGCCACTCGCTCTAGCAGCCTGGTCGGCTATATTCAGACACAGGAACTCGTTCTAAAACATGGATCTCCTAGAATACATCTTCCGTCTGTGTATGCGATGCGTTTTGCAAATAAAAAAGGAAAAGGTGCAGTCCTGCAATTGCCGCTCACGCCACTTCTGGAGAAAAGGCCCCCCTTAATGGTGCGAATTCTCGCGGGTATTTCTTCTACTACACACTGGCCAAACGTGTTGAAAGAGTTAGGCGTACCCACACTTTACCTCACCTTACACTACCTGCCCATCGATTAACGGTGATGTAACCATTTATATTGCTGAGTAGTCAAGAGAGGCGGGGGTGAGTTAAGAAACTTGGCCATTGTTTCAACTGACAAGAGTCGAACCGGCTATATCGGGATTGCGAGTCATATGGTGCCTTATAACGCATACAGAGGGTTATAATAAGTAGGCACGCATTTCAGGTAATTGTCCTAAAGAGCGAGGAGAGGGCAAATAGATTGGTCCGTAATTTACAAAACTGACTGCTGATGAGACGCAAAAGGTCAAACTCAAGATACATATAGCGTGGATTGTCAGAAATGGCAAGTTACAGTCCTGTCTTATAATGTTTCGGATAAAACAGACACGAATGTGTTCTGTGTAAAATTATCTAACAATTAATCTGTCTTTTTGTTTTTAATTTAATTTCGTAAACCGTTTTGAGTTCTCGAAACATCTTTCCCGTTTTTTCAAATATATGCAGATTATGTTTTATAAATGATTACGTTTTCCCACCATTTATTATACGCACCTGTCTCATATCGCGTTTGTTTTCTGTACATTTACCAAAGTCTCCGTGAAACACGTCCATGAGGCAAGCGACGCCGAGTAAATGAATTATCCAGCCCATACTTTTGCAACTGACAAAATGACAACATTCATCATCAGCCAT